GACTGGAGGATGCATTTGCTTTAGAATTCTGTAATTAGTTTGAGTGGGTTTGATCAGTTTTGGTGCTTAACCTGTGTCTGTCTTCAAGGTGAAACACCTTACCCGTGACTGGAGAACCACAGCCTACGCCCTGAAGTACTCGGACACTCTTGAGCTTAATGATGATAACAAAAAGGTTAGAAGAAATACTCCAGTTCCACTGTTTCCAAGTGAAAACATCCCTACCAGGATGCTGCTAGTGTATGATATCCACATGATTTCTGAGCTGCAGGATCTTAACAAACAAGAAGAAAATGGACGCATGCAAGAAAGGGTGATGGAGCATCTCCTCAAAGCCTTTGTAACTTTTGGTGTCATTTCATCCGTTCGTGTTCTCAAGCCTGGCAGGGATCTGCCACCTGATATCAGGAGGGTCAGCAGTCGGTACACCCAGCTGGGAACTCAGGAATGTGCAATTATAGAGTTTGAGGAAGTGGATGCTGCTGTACGTGCTCATGATTTCATGTGTGCTGAAAAGAAAGAGACTGGCATGAAAGTTGTCCTAATAGGCATGAAACCACCAAAGAAAAAAGTCCCCAAAGACAAGAACCGTGATGAAGATACCAGCAAGAGTCTTAAGAAGACTCGATCCCTTAATAAGAGAGTTGAGGAACTTCAGTTTGTTGGTGATGAATCTTCAGCAAACAGCTCTTCTGACCCAGAGAGTAATCCTACATCACCACTGTCAGGACGCAAACGTACTGCAACCAATCCCATGAGTAATTTGAGCCCTGTCATTCACCCAAACAACCATTTGAGTCCCAATGTGTCACCCAGGTCAAGTCCTTGGAGCAGTCCATCTTCACTAAGAAAAGTAACCAAAAAATCTCCACTGGCTGAAGACAGTAAGCTTAACCCAAGCACTAGCCCTGAAATTCCAAGGAAATGTACAGATTATTCCTCTGATAGCAGCATCACTCCTTCTGGGAGCCCTTGGGTACAGAGAAGAAAAGCCCAAACTCTTACACAAGAGAAGAGTCCTGTCAGCAGTCCCATGCTGGCTCGGAAAACACAAAATGCAGACCGTGTCCCTGTGGGAGTGCTGCGGCTGCCGAAAGGTCCTGACGGCACCAAAGGATTCCACGATGGCTGTGAAAGAAGGAAGGCTGTGAAGAGTGAATAAGCTACTCTTTACAAGCAGGCTCATAAGTCAGCCAACTGATGACCAAGCCTGGTGAAAAACTGTAATCTGTGTGACTGAGTTAACTCAGTATTTTATTTTAAAAGCTTTTTGTATTCATATAGAGACTTTATCATTTGTATATTTTCTCCACAGAACAGGTGAGGTTGGAAGGCATCTCTGGAGATTGCCCAGTCCACCTCTTTTGCTCAGGCTACAGCAGGTCACTGAGGGGTTTGAGTATCTGCAAGGACAGACTCCCCAGCCTGTCTGGGTGATGTGTTCCCATGTTCAGTCACCCACAGAGTACAAAAGTGTTTCCTTACATTCAGGAGCAATTTCCTAGGGTCCAGTTTGTGCCCCTTTTCCTGTTACTGGGTATCGCTGAGAAGAACCTAGTTCCCTCTTCTTTACTCCTTCCCATCAGGCATTTAAACTTGGATGAGATCTGCCCCCAGAGCCCTCTCTTCTCCAGTCTGACCAGTGCTTGCTCTCCAGGCCTCACAGGAGAGCTGTGCCAGCCTTTTAATCAGCTGATGCACTTGGCTAATGCAGTGTCCTTACCTACAGTAATTTTTTTAAATGTCTTTATTTTGAAATGCCTAAATAAAACAGGCATATAAATCATTCATGTAGGTCCATTATTTGCAAAGCTGTGATCCTGAAGAGCAGTGTGTAAATCCTTACAGTTTAACAGTTGTACTGTGAGGAGCTGTGGTACTTTACCAGGCTCATGATAAGGAGTCAAGGTGCTGAAGACTTTCTGTGTTTGCTTCCAAAGGAACTGAGAAATTTATGCCACAGTGAGCAGTTGCTCTCTGCATACATTGCCAAAGCAGTATTGGTTAGTAGGGTCAAAGTGTGTATTTTCACATGATGTGAGTAAAGACTGAGCATTGGAGACTGCTCTGTAAGTGTTCTCTCATATAATCAGATGGAAATAAAAATATTAACTTGGTCTAGATCTATTTTGTTTACCTATTGAGCTGCACCTGAATAGATAACTTAAACCTCATCTTAAACCATATGAAATTCTACTAGTAGTTACTCAAAATTTCCAGTGCATTCAGGGAGAGAAGGTCCTTTGTCCCATTACTGTTGGTTAATTTTGTGGTGATGCTTCACTCTGTGAGTCACAGTCGTTTTTATACAATATTATAAACTAAACAGTGGTTTTGTCACTGCTAACTCAGAATTTAACAAGCAGGCTCAGCAAGAAGTGCTTCAATTAAAATTAACTATACTCCTACCTGAAGCCAGAGAAGGAAACTGCAGTTCCACTTACAATAGTTAAACTCTGGAAAACCAGCCCAGGGACAGTAAGAGGGTTTCAGGTTCTAATGGACAACCTGGGAGCTGTGCATGAAAAAGGTCTCATCAGAGAGTGATTCTTCATTCCAAAAACTCCACATCCTGTCCCATTTCCTAAGTGCAGCACTTCTGCAGTGTAAATAACCACAGTAACACACAGTCAGAATCCTATATACAGGAATCCCAGTTCTGTGGCATTCTTCAGCCACCCACATATATTCTTGGTGCTTTTACTGCACACAAATGGAATCCTCCGAGTTACCTCCTGACTCTCATGACCAGCCAAGACACTATAAATACTGCTCAACACAAAGTGGTGGTTTTTTTTTAAATCAGCAGCACATCTGCAAGTATTGGAGTGACAGGAGAAGTCTTATAGAAGAGTGATTCCAGAACTCGAGATTACATACAACAGCACTGGTTCACTATGTTCCAAGTGCTCCTGTCATTAGTAATCAGGGAAGTTGCTTAATTATCAAACTATGCAGCATCTGTGTGTCACCATGTACCAAACTGTCTGGGGCAGTACTACAGCTAATGCAAGGGAGTGTTTTGAAGACATAAGTGGAAATATTGAGAATTATATGTAGTAGTCCATAATGTTAAAAATCTCTAAGACACCTGATGCTTGCAGGAAAACAAAAAGTGAAAACTATCAGCCTTTACCAGGGCTATGCTCTCTGAAGGAACTCTTCTACATGGCACATTCCATGTGAAAACCTTAAAAACCAAACCTACTTCTGTATAACAGTAACAATTTGCAATTAAGTCTCAGATACTAATTATGAGTCTTATTTTGCTTTAGAAAGTTTTGTACAATACAATGAACACTGAGGATGACTCCTCAGTAAATAAACACAAAGTCAAGTTTTTCTTCAATAGTAAACCAGATTGTTACTGAAGTTATTAGAAGGCCATAACCCAGGATTTTACAAGAGAATGCAATTTTACTGCAGTCCTAAGATATACCTAACAAACATTCCAAAAAGCTGTTCCACCTGTCTTTAGAGAACTTTTCAATAAGAAAGGAAAAGAATACATTTATCATGGTCATTATTTTTGTTAAAAGAAAATGCAGACAAGCACAATCAAACAGCAAATGATAATGTCATCAGTGAAACTATTTGGAAAGTAAATAAAAGTACTGTTTATAGAGAAAAAGTCAACACAAGGTCTTAATCTGGTTCAAATATGTAAACCCACAGTTCTCCTCCACATAATTTCCCTGCATCTCCAAAAGGAATGTTTCCTCTTTGCAAAACATTCTGTGGAAACCTCAGGTAGCCACAGACATACCAACTTATCTGCTATCCTCCTCCCCAGCCTTTTTATTTCTTATTTTTTTCATTTCTTATTGCCACTTCGGAGCCAGAACAACTACTTTATGCTGACAGTATTACAAAAGGCCAAAACAGAAGTCACAAACACCATTTGTATCCTTGGCTTTACATTCAGTATTCCTTGCAGAGCCCAGAACGTTTGCTTGTTTAATTAATCAACATAAAAATACTGTAGGTAGGAAATAGCTTCTCTCTGGATACTTCCTGCAGTAGCCAGCACTGCCTGGCATTGGACACTGCTGCATGTGTATGCTCAGAGCCATTTTGAGCTCTCAGGACCAAAATGCACAGATGTGCATGGCCAGGGCAGGCTGAGCTCTGTCTCTGCCCAGAGCAGGGAGCTCTGTTTGCTGCCAGAACACAGGGGGTGCAGCTGGCAGGCAGCAGGTTTGCTCCAGGGACTCACCCTCTGGAATCCTGCAGCAAGTGACACCCTTCTGTAGAGTTCAAACACACACATGCACAGCTGGAAGTAGTGGTTTTGAAAACACAGAGGTCGAAGCTATTTTTATTACTTTTTTTTTTTACAGAAACAGACAGCAATTCTAAAAAGCATTTTAAGAATGAGACCACTTTGCCAAGGAGCTCACAGTCACCGAAGGCGTTCAAGGTTCTTAACTTGGTCTACACAACACCAGTGCTGCCTGCACCAGTAGGCACCCCCAGATGCTACACAGTCCACAGCAGCTTCACTCATACATGCACAGCAATAAAACCAGATGCAATGTTTAATTCTTTTGGAACAAATATTTCCTTCTCCCTGAGTTTGTTTCTGCCTTCACATTCAATCCACTGCTCATAATCTGAGAACAATACAAAGCCCAAATACACACAACACATCTCAACTGCTTGGCAGAATGTTGCTAACAGAGACACTTTCAACACCAACAGAAGTGCCTTCATTTTGTTCCAGCTCTCAAATATTATATTTTGATGACATATTTCAACTAAGTAATTTTATAAAAATGTCCTATCAGCTGGAGAGACACAACGTGACAACACGTTTGGAGTTTTAGCCACTGGTTGAGAGCCCTTCCCAACTACACAATAACATTATTTCTGTCCCCAAAGGATCCACTCCTGTTGTCTTCATTTTGCACTGGCAGTTTGTGGCTGGGTTTATAACCCTGAAGTCAAAAAAAGCTGGGACTGCAGTACAAAATGCTTAGTAACTCAGCTAATACACCCGAGCTGTTTAGAACAACAACAGTCTGATTAGTCAAACAGAGCTGGCTTCAGTTTACACCACTGTTCCCTTAGCTTGGATTTCACAGCACTTGAAGCAAAAATATAGTTTATTGAGTCATAGGAAAGATCCCACATCTGTGACCGAGTCAGATCAAATGTGTTTGCAACGAGCTCATATTCGTGCGATAGGTCGGTTGCAAAGACACCTTTATCATCAGTCTGGAGTTCAATGGGAAAAAAAGAAAGAGAAGTTTAAATTAGTTCCTCTGCGTCAATACCTACACCAGTTTTATCCTGCTGTCTCACATCTTATCCCACAGTTCTTTCAACTGTGCGTAATCATTTCATTCTTTGCCCTATTTTCACTCAAAATGGATAAATAATTCAAACATGCAAGAACATTTCTCGACGTGATGGCACAATTTATCAAGGAAATAGGATTTCCCATTAAAATTGCTAAAAAGATGACTATCAAATGCTGCATACATTCAAGCCATGTCCATATGTGCAGGTCTCCTTATTCCTCTTTGCCCTTTCCTCAGATCTAGGAGCTGTAGCACACTCTGTATCCCTGCACCTTCAGGGAAGAAACTCTCTCACCCTTTAGACAATAAACCTTTGAGGTTTATTTGAATAATAAGCACAGTGTTCTAAAATATATAAACAAACAATGCTACAGATTCTGGGGTTAAACTAACAGGATGATAGTAAATTCCTGCCAATGGCAGCACAAGTACTTGGCACCTCAATGTTTAAGGACCTTCATGAGCTCTCAAGAGAACACAAGAACTCTCACCCAACACAATGAACACCCAGGTAAGCACAAGCATATGTGCAAGCATGGACCCATGTGTTTTAAGAGAAATCTGTCAGTATCCAAACAGCTATGAAGTTCATTGCATGTACAGCTGATCCTCTTATCCACTCAGATAATCCAGACTGGCTTTACAACAGAACCAAGAGAAAGACTATCAGTTCCCATTTATATTACAAGCATTTCTCAAACAGAACATTCTGATCTCCTAAAAGCAAATGATTTACTACAAGGTCCTAAGCTTTAAGTCACCTCTGATCTATAAAAAGGAGAGATAATTCTCCAACTTCACATGAGTTTGGCTCTTTGACAAAATATATGGTTAAAATAAGAAAACTTACACAAAGCACTGCAGGATGGCCCATGCTGTACCAGTACCCAAAGTGGTGTTTGTCACAGGAAGGCACTGTCTGAGTTTTGATGTTTGATGTCATGCAAAGTTCTAAGAGGAAAATAAAAAGAGGAGATGTATCAAAGAGACGTGTTTACTTGTTAATTGACTTATTTCTGTTCCTGAATAAAAATTAAAATAATCTATTTTTGTTTCCTTGATTTTCTATGCTTCTGTGGTAATTTCTTGTGAGGAAATCACTTTCTTCTGGGTATAAAATCTAGGGAGCTTGCAAACCAGATACAGAATCACCACACAGACTTGCAGAGAAACTCTAAGTTATGATTTAGTTTTGATTTCGTCTGAGACATCAACTGTTGCCTGCTGCCACCAATGTCAAAAACCCCCAAAGCTTTACAAGCAAACCTTCACAGGCAGTTAGTTCTCTCAGGTACACTGCCAGGTGTGCCTCAGTCATCCCTGGGCAAAGAGCAGTGGCAGTCCCTGGGTGTTCTGTCAATTGATGGGGATGACAGAAATAACACAGACACCAGCGAAAAGAATAGGCTTGTTTTACTATTGGTGTTTTAAAGTAATAGAAAAATGAATAAAGTATTTACATATAAAGTTAGTTTTCTAAGCTCTAATACAAACAGCACAAACAGCACCAAAGACAATAAGAAAGGTAATGCACCTAATCATTAGTACATACAGGAAATAACAGATGAATAACTAAAGATGAAGTAATATTCATTATCTTTTTCCTTACCACAGATGAATAACTAAAGATGAAGTAATACTCAATATCTTTTTCCTTACCGATAGGTATTTGATTCTGTCGAACAAGTGACACTAACTCTTCTGAACCTGCTGCTGCAGAGTTGAGAAATGTTCCATGTCCAATTCTGTCAGGAGGCAAGCCCAGCAGAATTTTGGTCTCCTCTTCTTGATTTGGAATCTAGGGAGGATATATTTTACATTCTGTCAAGGCAGCATAGAACAAACAGCACATTAAATAATTACAATGGACTTCAAGATCTATTTTCACAGCATATTTTCTCCAAAGGAAGGTGCTACTGAAATAGAAATGAGTATAAATAGTCCTGCTTGATTTCCTGAAGAAATAAAATCATCTTCAGTATTTATCAGGCTCATCAGAGTAAACTCCAGCCACCACTTCAGCAGATTGTATGGCAAAGCCCAGCTCTTTCTACTGATACAAGCAGAGCCAACAGAACTCACTACTTATGAAACTGAAGATTTCACTGTTCATGACTTTTGATATAACACCAGGAAGAAAACAGCAGATCTCTTAGAATGTTACTAATTTCAATTTCATACCTAACCCTGCAACAGATACAGCACAGGAAGCAATAATTTGGCCGTTAGGATTCAGAAGAGATTGCTGAAGATCTCTTCTTGTTTTCTTCTCTCTTGTCAAATGCCCCAAACCATGACTACTTTGGACTGAAAAGTTCAAAATGCACAGAAGGTGATTTTGGTTTCATCAAGATCTTCATAAAATGGGAGTTACAGAAAAGCACCAAAATAAAGAGAACTTTTACCTCAGACAGATGCAATGCCAGCTTTAGACCTGCTTTCTTTCCTTCTGACAGTGCTTCCAAAAAATCTTGGCCACGTCCTGCCTTGAAGACACAAACACATCACCATTCTACAGCTTATCTGACAAAACTCCTGCCATTACCATAATTAAGAAGTCTAGCAATATCAAAACACTTCATTCAAATATAGTTACACTGAATTATTTCTGTTTTCCCATTCCTTGGATCCTGAATGCAGCAATTCACATAAACCTTCTGCCATACAGGTGTGATTCAGGCAAATGGGGCAAACATCAGTAGCTCAAGATAATTATCCAAGACTTAGAAGTCAACTTTTATACATCTACCACCTAGAGCTATTTCTCTTCAACTTGACAACAGTCCTCAAACATTTTTGCTTTCTTAATACAGGATAAGCCTTTGGTGCAGCTAAACAAAATTTAAACTAGTGTCAACGTGCCTCAACCCAGTCTGTCTGACTGGGCCAGCTCAGTTACAGACACTTCCCAGGTAAACATTGCTAACCAGTGGCTCTTTTCTCAGAATCACGTTAGTCTATTGTTCAAGTACCTGCCCCTTACAGCAACAGGCAGTGAGACTACAGACAATCCATTCCAACTAGCAATAAACATCAGATAAAAACTTCTAAGAACAAAGCACAGTTAGAACCTCTTGCTGTTACACAACACTATGTATTTATCTTCACGAACAGCCAAAATAAACCAAAAACTTACGGTGGGATCACCACTGAAGTCAAGTCCTACTACAACCCCGTCACTGGAAAGCAGGAACTCTTCAGCAAGCTTAACAGTCTGCTTAGCAACTGCTGGGCCACTTCTTCTGTTTATTGCTATTAACAGCCTAGCAGAGAAATGAATGTAATTAATTACACACAAACTGTAACATCAGGAGCTCAACACATCTCATACCAACAGAAATGGCACTTCACATCCTTCATGGCCGAGTATAAAAAGCATATATATAAAATTATGCAGTGTATATGTAACAAATATAATGTGTGCATATATATATACACTATATATATAAAATTTGTATAGGAAACTGTTCAAGGAATGCAAGCACCAAAGTGCAGTGTACACAAACAGATAACAGGGCTGGCCTGTGACATGCAATAGCACACATGAAGAATGTGAATTCTTCAGCTTCCACAAATAAAACTAGTAGGGGTAGCTAGTGAGATGATAAAAGACAGGCCAGCAACTCCCTCCATGCAACCACTGACACGTTCTGAAATATCCCTGCTGGCCAGGACCAGCTCTCCTTTACAGCACTCTGCTTGCACTTGCAATCAAGCAAAATCTTTGCAATGCTGCTAGGCTGTGCAAAAGCAGCCTTTAATTCAAATGCCATGAAAAACATTTCTTTTCCTGAAAATGTTGCAGATAATGGTCAGAACTAAAGCCAAGAAGTTTGACTCTGTTTTTAAACTAGATTACATGGAATGGAAATACGTCATTCATATGGAAACCTGAATTTTTATCTTCTTTTTACTGCTAGAGAAAGAAACCCAGTAAAACTTTCTTTCCTACGCAAACATGACCGAGCATCAGGCAACACACAACCTTGCAACAAAGTTACTCCACATTCTTTATTTACCTTACATCTATATCCAAGCCATCTTCTTGACACTGCTTTATTCCCTCAAGTACAGTTTCAACATACATCCTTTTGGTCATACCTACAAACAAATGCACACATTTGCAGCAATCATATTGGAATTAATTTGACTATATTGCAGATCCAGCTCTCTAGCCTCCTAAGCTTCATTGCAGACCCAGCTCTCTAGCCTCCTAAATTTCATTTTGCATATTTGATTCTAGCCCACAGCCTCCTAACCCATATCATTCTAACTCTGCCTGCAAATACAGCTTCACTATGAAGCATACATTTGAACTAAACCTTCTCCTAGGCATCTGGAAAAATGAAAACAACTTTGTGTGAACCAGAGAGTAGCAATAGGACTTCTTTTATATGTTTCTATTAAACACATAGAAGATTAAATAAAAACTAAAGCAACAAAAATAAAATCTATCAGCTATTAAAAATATGAGCAGATTCAGATGGCATAATCAAGGTAATAACCCAAACTCTTGAGTAGTAGAGTTACAGCCAACACATTTTTGTCCTCAAAAATCTAATAGTACAGTGACATGCTTATACATGGTTAAATCTTTGGTTTCATACTTAAAGGATATTTTTATTGAGCCAACTGAATTTCACTTTACTTGTTATTAACATAGCCTTGAACTAAGTCTTACAGCACATCAAACTTAGAAATTAAAAACCAGAAGAGACTGTACCTGTGGACTTTTCCTCTCTTGGAGTGCTCCTCAATTCCAGATACTTGACACCATCATCAGCAAACTCTTTAATGACATCTTTAGTTATCTGATTAAGTAACAGTGTATTCAACATCACAAAAGGAATGCTCATAATTGGTTATATTTTCCTTTACAACTAGCAGACCCAGTTATTTTTCTGTTGTGATATTTTCCTTTACAACTAGCAGACCCAATTATTTTTCTGTTGTGAAAACACATGCAATGTTGTGAAAACACATGCAATGTTTTCAGGCCCAATGTATTTTTAGTGCTCTCCATCTGTGGAAATACTGTCCCACAGTAATATTTAGTGCTCTCCATCTGTGGAAATACTATCCCACAGTATTACAGACAGTAATTATTCTGACCTTCAATTGAAGGGATTTTTGATGTCATTACAATGCTGTTAATCCAAATGATTATTCTGACCTTCAATTGAAGGGATTCTTGATGCCATTACAATGCTGTTAATCCAAATTATTTTGACTGTATCACTTGCTTGTTTTAAGCAAACTTTTAATTAACTTACCAGTAAAATATCTTCAGTTCTAGTGGTAACCTGATAGATGAACTGAAACACCTGAAAACATCTAAAATAGAAGCAAAAATAATTATTGGACGAACATTGAATGAGTATTAAGAAATAAAAAAATCTACACTTTG